TTATGCTTGTCAGTATATTTTGCCTGATTGCCACTTTTTAAAAAGCCTGAATGTATTAGAGCTTTGAATAGACATTGTTGTTTGGTTCAGGGGAACTCTGAGCCTGTAAGTTGCGAAGAAGTCAGCCTGAAGTCCAGCTGTTTGCTATTAGAGTTGGATTCTGTAAACTGCCTCCTTCGCCTTTCATCCTTGCTGATGCCCAGCCCTGTCTCTGTTGTACCACCCCAGATACTCACAGTTATGCTGCCTTAGTAGCAATAGTAAATCTGGGTATTTGCAGTGGCGAGTATAAAGCTTGGGACCAAGGATATTTTAAATTTATAAGGTACAACTGCAGAAACAAGATTGCTTGTGTGTGTGTGTGTGTGTGTGTGTGTGTGAATACTGGAGACTGAACCCAGGGCCTTTGCACTGAACTGTATTCCCCAATCCCTTTTTCAGTTTTTTATTTTGAGACAGAGTCTTGTTACCAGGTCACCAAGTTTTCTAGGCTAGGTTTGAACTTGGCTCCTTCTGCCTCAGTCTCCCAGAGTGCTGGGATTACAGGTGTGCTAAGCCTAGCTAATATTTCAACCTTGGTGTTCATGTGCTGGTGCCTTGTAGGGGCTGACGGCTCTTCCAGGGAAGTTGTTCTTGCAGCTGCTGTGGAATTCACATCGGGGCCAGTTTATGAGCCGCTGCAAACAGTCTCTCCGGAGTCCGAGCGTCATACCTTGTATTTGACCAAAAATGGTATTCCTGAGCATGATGCCCCACCTGATTCACCATACTTGGAGCCAGATGATGTTGGGTTTTTTCCAGAAGTCAGATTCTTCCTGGAAGGATGAAGATCTGCCAGCTCTGAACATTCTGAAGAAAATGGGCTGCAGGCTTTGAAGGCTGTACGCTGTGTAGTCAAAACTGCTATGAAAGGTGGCTACACTGCTGGCCCAGGCATATGATCTTCTGAAGTGACCAAGTTAAAAGAATAATAACATTTGTGTGTCTCGCTCTGTTTACTTAGTGCATGATTTTTATTATTCAGTCACTCTTTATGTTGGAAGAAAACTGCAAAGCAGAGAAGCAGCAGTTAAGGTGGAAGAAGGTCCACCTTCAGACAGTTCATTGTGTCTGGGGCCGTCCCACGGAGAGAGAATATAAGACACATGTGATTGTTTATTTATTTATTTTTGTCTTTTTGAGACGGTCTCGCTACGCAGTTCAGGTTGGCCTTGAGTGTATTTTCTAATCTAGCCTGGTCTCAAATTTGGAGCAGTCTTTCTGCCTCAGCCTCTTGGGGTTACAGGAATGTACCACCATGCCCAGCTCGGGCACACATCATTTAAAATTTTTTTAATACCTTTTTTAATACATTTTCATAAAAAACAAAAAGCAGGTGAAATTTTTAAATTTCAGTGTATATATATATATATATATATATAATAGGACAGGTGTGGTGATACATACCTGTAATCCCAGCACTTGCGAAGCTGAGGTAAGAGGATCACAAGTTTAAGACCACACTGGATTGTATAGTGGGACCCTGTCTCCAAACAAACAGGCCAGGGATTTAGCTCGGTGGCACAAGCACCTGGCACAAGGTTGTGAGTTTGATCCCTGGTACCAAAAAACAAAAACACAGGGCTGGGGATTTAGCTCAGCGGCATAAGCACCTGCCTTGCAAGCAGGCAGTCATGAGTTCGATCCCCGGTACCGATAAAAAGGAAAAAGACAAAAAACAACAACAACCAAAAAAAACCCAAAAATACCCATAAAGCAAGCTTGCTTGCTTGCTTGCTTTCTCTCTCTCTCTTTCTTTCTTTCCCTATGTGGTGCCAGGGATAGAACCTAGAGCTTCATGCATGTTAGGTTAGCACTCTTCCACTGACATATATACCCTTTGCCCTAAAATTTACCATTTAACCATTCTTAATTATAAAATTCAGTAGCATTAGCAGTGTTATGTAATCATCACCACTATTTCCCTAACTCATCTCCCCAAACAAAAATTCCATAGCTATTAACAAGTAACTGTCACCTCTTTCTCCCCTGGCTCCAGGTAACCTCTATTCTATGTCTGTCTCTCTGAATTTGCCCATTCTAGCAACCTTATATAAATGGAATTGTAGAATACCTGTCTTTGTGTATTTGGCTAATTTTTTGTTCAAGTTTCACAGTGCTTTCAAAGGCTGTTCATGTTGTAGCATGTGTCCTTTACCTATTTTTATTTTTGTTTGGTACAGGGAATTGATCTCAGGACTTTGTGATTGTGCAGGCAGGTACCTCCCTCCCCAAAAACCCCAAAATAAATAAGGATCGAGATTTTTGTTTTTGGTTTTTTGATGGTGAGTGTGATGTGTGTATTATTATTATTTTGAGATAGAGTTTCACTATGCAATTTAGGCTGACCTTGAACTCACTTTGTAGACCAAGCTGGCCTTTATTTATTTATTTATTTTTTGGTCTTTTTCATTTTTACTGGTACCAGGGATTGAATTCACGACTGCCTGCTTGCAAGGCAGGCACTTATGCTGCTGAGCTAAATCCCCAGCCTCTCAGGCTGGCCTTTAACTCATAACAGTTCTCCTGTCTTAGCCTCCTGAATGCTGAGATTATAGGTGGGGTGCCACCATGCCTGGCCTTGTATGTATATTCTGTAGTGTGGATCTTTATATATTCTAAATACTAGACCCTCATTAGCTATATGATTTACAACTATGTTCTCCCATTCTCTGGGTTGTCTTTTCATAGTCTTGGATAATGTCCTCGTATGCACATTTTTCTTTCTTTTTTGATATGGAGGATCGAACTCACAATTTCATGCTTGCCAAACAGGTGTTTTTACTGCTGAGCTAAAACCCCGACCCCTTCTTCTTCTTCTTTTTTTTTCTTTTTGTACGCATGTTTTTAATTTTTTATGTTATTGTTGTTTTTTGAGATAGGATATCACTTTGTAGTTCAGGCTGGCTTTGAAGCTGGTCTCAAACTCACAGCAATCCTATCTTGACTTCCTGAGTACTGGGATTTATAGGGTTGTGCCATTATGCCCAACAAGTTTTAAATTTTGATGTGAAGTCCAGTTTATTTTTCTTCTGTTAGTTGTGCTTTTGATGTCACATCTAAGGGATCATTGCCAAATCCAGTGTCGTAAAGATTTCTCCCTATGTTTTCTTGTGATAATTATGTAGTTTTAGATCTTTGACCCATTTTGAGTTAATTTTTACATTCTTTTGGACATGGATATCTAGCTTCCTAGAAGCATTTGTTAAAAAGACTTTTATTTCCTTATTAAAAAGATCTTAGTTCTCCTGTTTGAAAATCAGTTGTATTTGAGTATTTATTTTTAAACTCTATAATTCTGTTTGTCTACTGTTTAGGTTTATAGTCTTAAATTCTCAGTAATATATATTGAATGACTGGCAGTTGAACCCAGGGTTTTGTGTATATTAGGCAAGTGCTCTACCACTGAGCTATATCCAAGCTTTAAAAAAATTTTTACTTTGAAACAGGATCTGAGTTGCTCTAGTTGATCTTGAGCTTGAAATCTTCCTGCCTCAGCCTCCCAGTGAGCTAGAATTTCAACACCATGTTGGGCTAAAAACATTAATGAGATATTTTATATTCTAATTTTCATGTAGAGTCATTGAAACAGTGTGTATTTAACCTACCAGTCACCTCAGTTCAGACAAGCTTTGTTTCAAATCTTGGTAGCTACAGGTGGCTCAGCTGCAATTAGATCGCTCAGATTTGCCAAAAATTACATGTGACACAGATCTTTGAAAAGGCTTGTGGGTTCAGGTGTGCCTGGTGCTTTTGTCCCTTTGTCATTGGAGTGGGCAGAAGGAAGCCATCTGTGTGTGCTGTGGTAGAGAAGGAGCAGTTTATTCCTGCTTGGGGAGGAAGAGGAGGATGACAGATGGTGGAAGGAGATGATCTTGAGCTCAGCCCTGGAGGCAGAGTGGGGGCTTCAGAAGCAGTCAGAGTGGGAAAGGCCTCTTTGGCAGAGTATACGGCTTAGGCAAAGCCCCAGGCGTGAACGGAAGAGTTCAGTGCTCTTGGAGAACCCAGCAGCTCTTTCAGCTCAACCAGAGTATTAGGCGCGATGGTGGTGCTGAGGAAAGGAAGGTGAGAGAGAGGGGCAGAAGCGGACCGGTCACCGCTGGCCACCAGTGCCCGTGTTAGTCACACCTCCAGCATTTCTTCTCCGGATCATTGTCAGTGGCTCCCTCACTGACCTCACTGTGACTACTTCCCCCCTCCCTTTGGTGTCCATCCCCCTGCTGAAAAGTGTAATTATGTCACTTCTCTGCTCAAACCCTTTACATTTTACTCCATCCAATAACAAGTGTCAGGGTCCTACAGAATCTGTCCCAGCTCCCCTCTGGTCTTGCCCGCTTCCACTCTCGCTCCCGATCACATCTCTGGCCATGTTAGTCGCCCTGGGCCTTTGTACTGCTTTTCTCTGTTCTAGGCATGTGAGTTTCTCAGATAGCAAGTGGTTCATTCTTTCACTTCGTCTCTCTGCTCCATCCATTCTCATTTATGATGTTCAAAGAAGCCTTTTCTGTCACATATGCAAGGTAAAATGATTCCCGTCCTAAGCAGGAATTCTGACCTTGGAGCAGGAATCCCGAGGGAGCAGAGATTTGTCTATTCTGTGAACTCTTCAATGTTTAGTAGTCAATAAGTATTTGTTGAGTGAATGACTAGATGAATAAATAAATGGATCAATAAAACAGGCATAGCAAGACTTCTACAAGTGCATTGACTTGAGATTTTCATTGAAGAGTTTCCCTTTGTATTTACCTGTTTTCCTTAACACTGTATTTGGAAAATTTCAAACATACAAAAATGTTGAAAGAATGGTTCACTGAATATCCATGTATTTTCTAATTAGATTTGAGAATTGTTAATGTTGACCACAGTTGCTTTATGTATTCTCGTAGTATGTGTGTGTATTTGTGCAAGTGGGGCTATTTAAAGTCCACTGTAGAAACATAACTCTTACTCTTTGTGTTTAGAAGTGGGCTCTGGAGAGTGGCAAATCAGAGGAGACCTCAGGTAGCAGACAGCTTGGGTCATGGCCTCCGACCTGGACTTCTCACCTCCTGAGGTGCCTGAACCCACTTTCCTAGAGAACCTGCTGCGGTATGGACTCTTCTTGGGGGCCATCTTCCAGCTCATCTGTGTGCTGGCTATCATCGTACCCATTCCCAAGTCCTATGAAGCGGTGAGTCCTTCCCTGTGAACGTTAGCTCCAGAGTGCCAGGCTAAGTTCTAGGGACTAACCTAAGTGTCATCACAGCCAAGATAAGCAGGGATGGGCCTTACAGCTTTAGTGTATTGCCACATCTTTTTTAATTTTTAATCGGTACCGGGGATCGACGGCTTTAGTGTGTAACAGAACTCTCCTCTGTATATTGAACTACATGACTAATACTTGATTTTTTCAAACATCCATTCAGACTAGGGGTGGAGGGACTGGGAATCAAACACAGGATCTGGTGCTTGCCAGGCAGGCATTTATGCCACTGAGCTATATCCCCGGCTCCCTATTAAGATTTTGATTGCTTGCCTTGTGTCAGATTACCGACATGGGCTGTCTGCCTTAAAGGTTCTTCTGCTCTTTAGGGAGAAAGCAAATGTAAACAAACCCCATTTACTCCCATGGAAGCACAGAGTCCAGTGAGGGTGTATAACAGGGCGCCAGGGGACTCAGTCATAGCTTGGACCAGCAGCTGGGCAGCCCACACTGCTGAGGAGACAGTGTTTGAGTGTGATAGAAGGAATGAGCAGACTTCTGCCAGGTGAAATGGGGAAGAGATGAGGCCAGTATTCCAGGGGGAGGGAACTGCTTGTGTGAGAGACCTGAGGAGTAAGGAACTGATGAAGGTGACCATGTCAGAATACAGACGGGCTGCGGGATACCTCAGTGGCACAGTGCCTGCTTGGCAACTGTGAGGTCCTGAGTTTGATTCCTGGTACCAAAAAACAAGAATACAGGCAGGACATGGTGAGAGGTGTAGCTAGAGCTGTGGGCATGGAATGACATGATCAAATTTGCATTTTTTGTTGTCTTGACACATTTTATAAAGTGTGTTACACTAGTCTGTAGCACCCTCCTGCCTGCCCAGAATTGCATATAACCTTTCCAGTTTTCTCTAGGTCAAATAGGGAAAGGGAGAGGACAGCGTTCCATTGATTTGTTGGAGAAAGCAAGTCTTTGTCATCTGTGATACCAGCATCCCAGGATTTGGCTAAGTGCTTTCCCATGGGGTTAACATGGTTGTCGGTTGCCATATGTCCTACACACAGAGAGTTCCATCTAGAGGCCTGAGTCCATTTAGGGGGTTATTTGGTACACACGCCTCATGGCTGGTGCTGTGTAGTTGCTGTTGTGTGTCAGCAGGCACATTTGGCCGCCCCATGTTCTATTAGAGATTCTAGAGCAGCGGTGGTAAACCTGTGGCCTGTTCCTGCAGCAGGCTGGTTCAGAGCTGCGAACAGCCTGCTGTAGCACTTGTGCCATGGGTTCATCACTGCTGTTCTCAAAGCTTTGCCATCACTGTTCTAGTCAGTTCAGGTGATGTCACCTGACTCATCCTTTGTAAAATCCATCCGTCAGTCTTTCACCTAAATGGTTTTAAAATCTATTGGTGACAATTGCTTAGGATTTTCCATTTTGCTCTATCCACTGGAGTTCTCCAGCAAGCACATTTTTATCACACGTATATAAAAACTTCTGAAATGCTGTTTATATAAAAAGTAGCATAAGTGCTTGTTTCGTTCCATCAGTGTTCAGAGTAGTGAGTTTGACTTCAAAAACTTCTACTGTTGACCAATGAATCTTTAGTTTTCATATGCTTTTGAAATATATTTGTATATATTTGATGTGTTTGGTTTTTTAATACATTGTTTTAGTGGGAGACCCTTCAAGTTGGTATCTTTGTTTTTGTAATACCTCAAGTCTTTGGTAGCTTCCTTGTTTACAGGTTCAAAAGATGTCTCAGGCTCATTTTGAACATTTCCTGCCACAGTTCTGGAATCACTTATTTCTCCAAAAATCCCTACTTCTTTTTAACTGGAAAGTAGAATTTAGAGACTACAGTTAGAACATTAGAAGCAATCAGCACTACTGAGTTGTAGTTGCTTCTGTGCTTTTTTAATGACTAACGGTAGCAAATAAACCATTTTTAAAGAAAAAAGACTTGTGATTTCGTACTGGTATTTCCAATTTAAACTCAAGATTGTAGTGTTTATTTATATTATTTCATTTTTAGTTTATTTATTTTATACTAGAGATTGAACCCAGGGTCTTGCACATGCTAAGCAAGTATTCTAGTGTTGAGCTATATCCCCAACACTTTTATAATTTTATTTTGAGTCAGGGTTTCACTAAGTTGCCTTGGCTGACTTTGAATTGCAACCTTTCTCCCTCAGCCTCCTAAGTAATAGGATTTTAAGTATCTGCCACTATACCCAGCCTATTTACATGATTTTATGCTAGTGTTTTGTATCTCTTTTGTCTTTGGTGGGGGGGGGTGGTACTGGGGATTGAACTCATGACCTCATGCTTGCCAGGCCGTTGAGCTAAATTCAAAGTCCCCTCTTTTGTCTTGTGCTGGCAATCTTGTTTCCTGGTAGCGTTAAAAAAATGATTCATTTGCTGTGTCCTGTTGTATCAGAAGTCCCTTAAAAATAATAATAATAAAAAAGAAGTCCCTAAAGCTATCCCAGGTTCAGAGATTCTCTGGGAGGATTTACAGCTATGGTGTATCACAGCGAAAGGATACAAAACAAAGTAATCAAGAAAAGGCATATGAAGTAAAGAAGAGAAAAACCAGACAAGCCTCTAGAGGGCTCTCGATTGGAGTCTTGTGGAGATGTGATAGATTGTGTGATGTGTCTTCTAGCAGGGAAGCTCATTACTGACTCAGAACCCAGGGTTTTTACTAGGGACTGGTCACATAAGATTTGTCTGCCTATCTGTACCCAAATTACAGACTTCCAGAAGGAGCTGGTGTTCACCATAAGCCGTATTGCCTGCTCAAATGATTTGGGCAAAGTGAGCCACTCTTTATCAACTCTGGGAATGGTAGGAGCTTCCTGAAATCCAAATTCACAGATGCCAGCTAAGGGCCAGTCTTCCATCAGGCTTTAAGGATAACAGCCTTTTAAATGTTAACTCTATTCTTCTCATCTACAATATACTAATGATAGTTTTAAAATAGTTGTATTGGGCAGGGATATAGCTCAGCAGCATAAGCACCTGCCTAGCAAGCATAAGGTCCTGAATTCAATTCCTGGTACCAAAAAAAAAAAATAGTTGTGTTATATTTACTACTATAACATTTCTTTTTGTTCTTCAGCCTTAGACTATGTCCCCGTAGCCGTGCATGGCGGTTTCATACCTGTAATCCCAGCACTTGGGAGGCTGAGGCAGGAGGATCATGTTTGAGGCCAACCTACACCACATAGTGAGCCCCTATCCCAAAAAAACAGTGCAACAAGAAGTATGTGTTCTGTAGAAAGTTGGAGTCAGAATACTGTGTTTAATAAGGTTTTCTCTGACCAAGTAGACTTGGTTTAATTTGTTGCTTTAATTTGTTTTTAGTTTCTAAGGAGTTTTTCTTGTATTTAAAATTATATGACACATTTATATATAATATTTTCAGAGGTCAAACTATGTAATGAAGCACATTTGTAGACATTTCCTTTAATCCCATTATGCTCCACGATGTTCCTTCCTCCTCTCATAGGGAGCCATTTTTATTAGTGTGATTTATCTTTATTATTTGATCTTTTTTGTGTGTGTGTGTCTTTTTCCTTTTTATCGGTACCAGGGATCAAACTCACGACTGCCTGCTTGCAGGGCAGGCGCTTATGCCGCTGAGCTAAATCCCCAGCCCAGATCTATTATTTTTTAAACAAATGCATATATGTATGTTGCAGATATTCATATATATATATATTCATGTTCCCTTCTTTGACATATAAAAGATAGCATATTCTTAAACTTAGTTTTGTACCTTCTTTTTATTTTTACTTAACAGTATATACTGCATCTTAAAGATCCACATCTTGGAAATCAGCATGGCTTGGGCTTGGAGGTTCTGCTTATATAGAATGGAATATGATAGGGATAACCAAAGCTGTGGGGAACCTCTGAGAAGGCACAAGCGTGTGCTGGAGGTGGAGAAAGAACATGGCCAGTTCAGTTGAAGTGGATTTAATGTCTCCACATGGTTCTGTCAAAGGAGCAGGTAGATTTACAAGTGCACAGTGGGAGGAGGGTCTGAGTGTTGGCCAACATTTGGGATTTGTGAGATGTCACTGAAGCCAGGTGAGGGGACAGATTCTCTCAAAGAGAGAATACAGAATGAGATAAGTGGCCCAGCAGTGATCCTACAGGGGGCTGCAGCATTTAGGGTACAACATGGGGAGAGGGAGCTGCCTCGAGGGAGAGGAAGATGGTGAGTGTGGACAGGCTTATGACCTCAGGGTATCTGTCCATCTCTCATTCTGGTATTTTAAGAAGGAGGTCACCATTGGAGTTATTCCACCCACGGTTGTATCATACTTTAAAAACATAGACCCTGCGCTCTCGGGCTCTGTTCTCGTAGACATGGCAGGCTGTTGGGTATTATAAATAACTAACGTTTCTACTGGTGCTGAGGAAGCCTTCTGTAAGCCCCTAGGGAGGGAAGTGATGACTCTTCCTGTTTTCTAGGCAGAGATGGAGAGTCGGAGGCATGACCATGTGGAGAGCAGGGAAGCTGCTCACCTTATTTCTTAACCTTTTGAGGTAAATGACAGAGGTCCGGGTCAGTCCAGCATACTTGTAGAAGAGGGGCGTATAAGTGTGCAATAGGTTAAGGTCCCAATAGGAGTCTTTTAACAAAAGGCTCAAAAATACGCCTCCACACCCTGTACCAGTGACACTGAGAGGTTAATTTGGGACAACAGCTTCATCTTTTAAAATATAAATATAGCACAGCATATTTCATTTTTGTTTATCTTATAGTTTAGAGATGTAAAGCTCATGCAAGGGAACTGTCTCCATAGCTGAAGCTTACTGTTTTAGCTTTTTGTTTTTTAGGCTTTTCAACGGATCGGTGGCATCAATCCAACTTTTTATTGCGTTAGAGTAACAAAAGGCCCCTGATATGCAGAGATTCTGCCACTGGCTCTCCTCTCTATTCCCTGTAAGGCAGCTTCTCTCTTTTCCCA